TCTTTTCAGATTTATTCATTATGAAATCTAATGTGTATTTAGGGATGGGCTGGTTAGAAAAATCAAAAACTAATCCTACCATTGCTAAAATGACTGAATATTATATATATATATATATATGTATTTATTGGACTAATGTAAACATTTAGACTAAATTATCTCAATTTAATAGTTTTTGAGGGAGTGTATTTGTTGTCCATATTTCCACCTGTCTTTACGTTTGTCCATCAGTTTTGTCTGTTTTTCTGTCCATTTTTTTTTCCCCCATTCATGTCCGTTCATCCATTTGTCTGTATGATGTGACCGTTTGGCCACCTCGGTTTGTCCGTCTGTCCACAATCCTTACATTACCCGTTTCTGTTGATTCATTTGTCAACCAATGACATTGCACCGTGGTTTTTAATTGAAGGGACGTTTTGATGGAAAATTTAGACGCAATACTAATTTTTGAAAACATTAGTTTACCTTGATACTGGGAGCTGCCCTATTTGGTTAAATTCTGTTTATTTATTTCTTACAAAAAAAGTAATTTCAATTCAGTCATACATGCATTCTACTTATTCCAGTTGTTGAAGTTTAAGAAGTTACTATCTAAGAAAACCCAGCAGATTGCATCGGGTCGTCATGAAAATGTTTAGTTTTTCTTCAGACGGACCAAATTGGTTAATAAACTCACCTCTGCTTGAACCGTGTGGTCATCCTTTGTCTCCAATCTAATGAAATATGAAAAAAAAAAAAAACTGGCAATATATCTGCTGTATCAACCTCAAATGTTATTACAATTAATTTTGGACTTTGTTTTAAGAACCAACCCTAATCCCGCTGCTTCTGCTCTGATTGATGTTGGCGCTACACATGTTGGATGGAGAGCGTTGACCTCCGTTTAACCGAATGTTTCCTTCCTCCCGTTTCAATCCCATAATCCGGCTGGAAACCTCTTGCCCTTGTGCCACTTGTTTAGAGAGTAATGAGGTTTAGGGACCCAGATAAACCCTGGATTACAGCTTTGCGGGATGGTTTAAATGTTGTCGGTTTATAACCAGACTTCTAATGCAGCGTCTAAATACTCGCCGCATATGGTCGGCTCTGCTGCGCTCGGCCTTATGTAAACACGCTTCCTTTTGTCGACGCGCTCTGCGCTCCTCAAAAGGGCGCGGGGTGTTTCTGGGCCGACAGATGTTTCATGTCGATGTGCTTTAGCTGTGCGCTATAAATCTAACGCACTTCAATCCAAAATGAAGCCGGAGTTTAGGCTGAACCTTGTTTAACCTCACACGGTTAATCTCAGAGGTCAAGCTGCTGTTTCTAAACAAACTCAACCACACTTTGATTAACACACACACACACACACACAACCCGCTTATCTGCAGGCGACGTGTCTATCTCTTCTCCGCGCCGGCCTCGCTTGTCAAATTGGAAATCGATTGGAGCAGCCTTTTCAGGTGCGAGGGGTTTATTTTCTCTACATTTCTAAACCTGATGCGTGTTTCTTGTTCCGTTTTCCTCAAGGCGTCATCCCAGTCCGGCCAACCTCTGAAGTTCACCACCTCCGACTCCTGTGACCGAATCAAGGACGAGTTCCAGTTCCTCCAAGCACAGTATCACAGGTACAGACGCGTTTTTAGCTCCCTAAAATACAGGGGTGAAATTATTAAATCCATTATTAAAATGATCATCAACTAATTTAGCAGTTGACCAATTGTTTTTTTGAGTCACACAGACTCAAAAAAAGGCCATTGACTGAAAGAACAACATGCTCAGAGCAGTAATTAAGCCAAAAATGTACAAATATATAAACAAAAAAAGCCTTTTTCTGTAAATATGTTGTACCCAAACCTCCTCAAGTGGCGTAGCTTCACCTGGTTCAAGGTGAATCGATAGATTAATTGGTAGCTGCTTTTTATTGAAGTATCTCATCAAGCCTTAATATATATTTTTATTCACTAGTTATACACAAAATTATATATATAGATTTAGGTTCAGAGGTTTTATGTTTCTCCTGCCTGGATGTATGAATATTTTTGATTAATTGAAAGTCATATTAAAAAAAATTGCCTACGCAGCATTTTTTTTTTTTTTTTTTTGAAATAAAAATAATAACTAGTATTGATTTTGATACTTATTTTTTTATCGTTCCTATTTTTCACATTTATTCAGTCAGTAAAAAAAAATCATTTAATAGTTTTAGTTTTCGGATATGTTTAAAAATGTTCATTAAAATGCTGATAAAAACAGAATCGCAGGGCCTGGATCTGACCTCCATTGTTTAAACCGTCTCTGATTTTACCATCCAGTTTGAAGTTGGAGTGTGACAAGCTGGCCTCTGAGAAGTCGGAGATGCAGCGCCACTACATCATGGTGAGCGTCGCTAAGATAAAATCATCTTAGCAACAAAATCGGCTCTTATTAGTTACATTTCACACAGTTACTGATCTGTAGCTAACTGTGAGGCTGTATTTTTCACTTTTTTGTTTTGAAAAACGGATTTTCGTTGCTTCTCATTCTTGTCTTTGTCACACTGTGTTGCAGTATTATGAAATGTCCTACGGGCTCAACATTGAAATGCACAAACAGGTGAGTCAGTCTGTTTCATTAGAAATCCTCCTAATGTCAAAATTCAGGCTAGGAGGTCAGGAGGCTCCTGGCTAAATTTGTGTCCTTTGCAGGCTGAAATAGTGAAAAGACTGAACGGGATCTGCGCTCAGGTGCTGCCTTACCTGTCCCAGGAGGTGAGGACGCCATCTTGTCTGAATTAGACTCCGTCCTGCAGCGGATAAGGGTTTTTATTTACAGAGCCAAAGTCCTGGCTGAGTTGGAGAGACCGGGTTTCAGAGGGATGCTGTTGGTCAGATCTGAAAATTTAATTTCATCTCATCTGGCGTCTTCTGAATGAAAGCTTCCCCACACCATAATACTGCCACCACCACATTGTAACTTAGCAAAAAGAGGTTTTTTTGCAAGTTGTTTTTATTCTTCCATTTAAAATGTTTTAATTCTGTAAACGACAGAAGAACATAAATGGCGGGAAAAGCAGAAATATTTGTTACTTTCTCTCGTAGTCAACATTAAGGCGTTTTTAAATCACCTGCATCCATTAACACGACGATTAAATCTCACCATTTCAGCACCAACAGCAAGTCATGGGTGCGATAGAGAGGGCCAAGCAGGTCACGCCTCCTGAGATGAACTCCATCATACGGGTGAGCAAACCTCATGACTGTTCCTGCCTCGTTTAACCTCCAGTGAGACAGACGGAGACGATCTGCCGTCACCTGTTTGTTGATCTGAGCGACTCTCCAGACGTTCTTATTTACGGCATTTATTCCTTTATCTTGCTCTGTAAGCGATCGCAGGAAGAACCGCTTCTTTAAGGGCCTGAAGCTAAAATATTATTGTAGGGAATTTGATCATTTGTTTTAGTATTGAGTCGTCAGATCACAACAGAAAACTTTATTACCGTTTAGATTTTTACACCAAGCCAAATCTACTGTGATGCATGTAAAAAGTCTTTTTGTCTTTTAATAGTATGATGAAGCAAATCTAAGCCAGTAGGATTACATGAAGTTTTGCCTGCTAATTATGTAGCTAATGTTTGTAGCTAACTACGCTACATACATTTGCATAGTTAGCTAACTAACTAACTACGCTACACACCTTTACCCTCCGTTAACTTCCAGGGTAAAGGTGTGTAAGACACCTGAAACAAAAATTATTGCAGGACAATTTACACCTGAAGCAGAAAACATTGGTTCTGCTTTAAAATTTATATTTTACTGAATCACTGGTGGCTCAGTTGTGAGCATCCATTTTGTCAACAGGTAAAGTTTAGCTGTTCTTTTTATGTTTGCCGTAGCTTGTTGCTGCTTAAAAAAATAAAGTAAAAATGTGTTAGTTGCAGTTTAAGTAAATTTCTTGAGGTGTTTTTGGGGTGTCCGATGTTTTTGTGTTTTACTTCATCAAATAAATGACTGTAAGCTACGGACAAGGATTAGGCTGCTGAAAAAACAACTTTTTTTTCTCAGAGTTCTGACTTTTATAATTATTTAATTTAAATAATTTAGTTTAATTTTTTTGCCGTAATTCTGTTGCGTATTAATTTAAAGTTTGAATTCAGTAAAATAAGATAAGGCAACAATGAAAGCTGGGTTTGTTTTGACTGCAGAGGGCGCTGACTGATGATTGAAACCCCAAACGTTGCCTTGCAAACATTTAACCGTGGGCTCTGCTAATCGTTTGTCTTTTGCGTTTTGCAGCAACAGCTGCAGGTGCAGCACCTGTCCCAGCTGCAGGGCCTGACCCTGCCCGTGGCCCCGCTGCCCCTGGGCCTCACCCCGCCCTCCCTGCCTGCCGTCTCCTCCAGCTCAGGCCTGCTCTCCCTCTCCTCCATCCTGGCCAACTACTCCCACAGCCAGCCGCAGGCAGCCAAGGAGGACAAGGCCAGGGACGCCGCGGAGAGGGCGCCCAGAGCAGAGGACGGAGACAAGTCCGACTAGTGAAGGCACGCCGAGGTCACCGGGCCGAGGGGAGGCGATGCGTGGGTGGGTGGGGAAGGGGTGTAAGTGTTTAAAACGAAACGGAGAAACAGACTGTAAACGGGGGTTGATGCAGGTCTCGTAGAGGAGAAGCCACAGGGAGGACGGAGCCGAACCGTTTGGATCCTGAAACGCTTAAAACCCGAGAGGTAACGTCTGTTTCATTTAGCGGTAATAGACTCAGTCCAGACCTCAGACTTTTAATAGTTTCTTTGTGTGTAATCAGTTATTAGGCCTAACAAATATAAATGTTTGTTCCTTTTTCGGAGAGAGGGCTGAGTGAGAAACGATAACGGCAGACTTTCTTCACTTCCTTCCCGCGGGTCTGGCAGCGACAGAAAGCAGATTTAAAATCCTCCGAGTTCATTTGGACCTTTTGTTCTCCATGTCGGTGAAACTAAAGTCAGTTTATTCCAAATAAAACTCCAGTCTGTTTGATACGACTTTTGAAAGACAAACGTCTGACTCTGAAGTCGGTTGCTTATCCCAGATGAGCAAAATCTGATCCTAACTTTGATCACATTAGACAGACCGCCGCTTTTATTTTACTGAGCTGGTCCTCTGGAGAGAAAAGGTTAACATCGTATTTTTAGGACCAGACTGAAGAGTGTCGCTCCCGACAAATCCATCATGAGACGAAGCTTCCAGTAAATCGTGACCCGCTCGGTGAATTTCAGCTTTCTATCAAAAACATAATCCTCCTCCAGTGCACAGCAGGAATGGCTCCTTATCCAACTACATCAAATTCACTGACTGGAAGGTTGCAGGTAAAGAAAAGGTGATTAAATTAGTTTTTCTCTCTCGCCGTCGAACGCAGACGTGAAGCTCAGACACCAGAATACTCTCATTTTTTTACTCCTTTTGGACTCGGAGTCCTTCCTGACTAGACTTTGAGTGAGTTGTGTGCATGTCGCATCAATTCTGTGTTGAGTTTCTGTGCTCAGAGAACCAACCGCGCCGCCTGCCGGCACGTTGGATCGGATTTCATTCGCTGGTGTAAAACTGTTTTTGCTTCTTTTTTCTTCGTCTCATTTAAATGCTTCAAGTTATCAAAGCAGGTTTAATACCAGAGAAAGACGAGCTGAGTAGATGTTTGTTTTATGCTAATTTCGTTTATTAAGGCGGGATAAAGCTATTTAAACCAACCTGTTCCTCTGAAAGCACATCATTGTTTTCTTTTTTTTTCTATCAAGTGTTGCGATATCCGAGTCTTTTCTTTACCTTTGCTCTAAAATCTTAGACATGATTTTGTAACCCTTTCCTGACTGGATGTCGATGAGTTTTCCACGGTTTGGGGCATACAGTGTTGCTGTTTGCGATCTTTCAGCTCACCTGTGTTGTTAAACAGAATCTCTTGAAGCGTTTCTTTATCCTACAGGTGTGGCAATCATCACTTTGGGGAGTGGCTGGTGAAATACAACCAGAAAAATGCGGCTCGGTTCATTATTTAATTCACGATTCATCAAAAACGTCAAATATATTTTCATTGGATCAGGTTGATTTAGTGTGTTTTTTTTAATAAACGTAATTCATTTCTAATTATTAGGAGTATCTCTGACAGTTTTAAATTTCTTCAAATAGCACCATGGTTGGATTTTAATTTTCTTGTTCGACAGCAGAGGGCAGCATTGCTCTCTATTCCAGGATGAAAAGAAAGAAAAGTTTTTATTTTTATTTTTTCCTCCCCCTGATCTGCATTTCCTGCTTGCTTTCACTCCTTTTACTCGAATTACATGAACACCTGAGATCAGCATTAAAAACTTTACCCTCTTTATCTTAATTTGAAGCACTTAAGATTTGTATCAGTCCTGTTCTGCTTTTCTTCTGGCTGCTGGAGAAGTTAAAAGATTTAAGAAAAAAAAAAAAAAAAAATAGAGAGAGTCTCTTGGTGAGATTTAACTTTGACACATTTACGAGCTCGCTCTCCTAAAACCCCCTTTTGGCAAAACTCAGACATGTGAATAGTTTGTGCGTTTGTTTTGCTGTGAAGGGCCAATTTGTATACATACGGATATATCAATATACATATTTTTTAAAGCATTTTTGTATGTTTCAAAGCTGCTTTTTAATGTGTGTGTGTGTGTATATCATAAAAAGACCTTGGTGTCGTATGTGTGCGCGCATTACATGCATAGAGGCGCAATGTTGTATAACATGGTTTTTTGTTGTTGTTTAATTTCCTTCTTCTCATTGTCTTGTAACATTAATTCTAGTTTTCTACATGTTTCTTTCTTTTTCTGTGCAAACAAACAAAAAAACCCTGTTTAAATGTGTCAAGAAACACATTTTAAAAATACTCGGGACAGAAAAAAAATGATGTAAGCAAGCAGCTTGTACTTAAGAATGAATCAACCTTTTAGCAGTAAGGAAGCTTCTCTGGTGCCTTACAAATAAAAGATGTGATTAAGAGTGTTTACGTTTGTCTTTAATTGTCTGGAGGGAAAGGAAGAAGTAGAAAAGCTCTTTACACTAAAGGTACGGCGTTGATTTCTAAGCCATCGTGTCGAATTTCGTTTTATCAAAAGGAAATCTTTCCCGGAGTAATTATTTGCGTCATTACTTCCTTATTCTTTCTTTCAACCACAAGCGGGAAGGATCATTTCCCAGACTCCACTGGGTCCAGAGACTCTCACCATGCAGCCAGATGGTAATTTAAGGAGTGGCAAAAGCAAATGAGGCGGGTTAGCAGAGCTCACCGACACCTGATGGGGTCATCCTGGACGTGATGCCATGGATCATCTCTGCTAGCAGCTGTTGGCATGTCGGGTCAGTCTTCAGTCAGAGGCCACTTCACATTTGTTGCGAGACTGACTGCTACCGGAGATCATTTCTGCCCCAGCGTTACCGACAACTGACGATATGAGTTGCATTTAATTTTTTTTAAATTAAATTTCTTCGTTCTTCCTGCTTTTGTAACCCTCCTTGTGTCCTCTCTTCTTTCAATCCTTTGTTCTGATTTTCCTTTTTCTTTTTTTGTTTTTCAAATCTTATGTTTTGTGTAAATACTCCTTCCCTTTGTCTCTTCTTTCCATGTTTCCTTCCTTCCTGAGATTCTGCTGAACAGTCTGAAGATGTGTAAACCGATTATTACAATTGTTTTCCTGTGCAAATTAAAATTCACCCTATGTTGGCGATGGGTTTTTCTAAAACAAACAAAATTGGCCAAAGTTACATAGAGGTCTCTGCATTGCTGCAAATCTGTAAAATCTCCAGGTAACGGGGCGAAGGTGTGTTCAATTAGGGTCCAAATACAGACCGTCTCATCTACAAGAACAGTTCTGGTTTGTGCTGTTTGCGCCACTAAGTGTAAAACACATCCGTGTCTAATCATAAATTAATTACCACGATAAAGGAGGCTTAAACAGCTTATAAGGTGTTTTTTTTTATTCCAGGAGTTGGAAATCCACAGATCTGCTTATTCTTCAGATTAAAAAATATATATATATAAAAAATTCTGACCCTGAAATTAAGGACATTTAGGTCTGGAATTACATTTTAATGGTTCTTTTTACTTTCAAATTAAAAAAATAAAACTGTCACGTAAAATATAGTTTTCCCTCAGTCATCTTTGGTGTGGAAGATGCTACTAAATGAAGACAATATTTTTTAAAAGTTTTAACAGGTTGTTTTTCATTCTAGAGGACTTTTGGGTTCTGGTGGGTTGACAGTAAATTGGTTGTGTCTCCTGTATACATCTGTTATATTCACAATATTCAAATTTAGTCTCTTAATTCAGAATCTGGCAGCCAGAAATTGTTTTACATAATTTAATATTTAGGCTCTTAGCTTGTTAAACATATACAAAACATTGGTTTTAATGAAGATTTTTATTTGATTCTTTTAAGACTCGTGATCCACATTAAAAAACAAACATGAAAATACACTTTTTTTCCCCACACACAAGTATTATAAAAAATTAAATAAAAATTAGTTTTCTATCCTGGCACTTTTATTGTCTGCAGTACATTTAGCCTGCAAGTTTCACACTTATTTTCAACCTGGACCAACCAAACTCAGCTCGATTTTAAAATCTATAATACCTGCTTGCATATTGTGGATAAATTCTCCAACAGTTTAAAAAAGCAGCTTAGACGAGTTGGAAAATATTTGATACGTTTATTTTGTTTGCAAACAAAAGTAAAAAAAAAAAAAACATTAGCTTGTTGGGTAAAAGCTATGTTTAAGTGTAAGAAAACGCAGTGAACTGTGGAATGAAAAACCAAAACAATTGATAATTGTGATTAAAAAAAAACACGTATCGTTTCAGTGTTGAGAAACAAACATTTCCTTACCGTTTTTTCCTTATGATTAGGTCTTAATTTATACTTTAAGACTGCTTTGGATATTATAAAAATGATTTAAATAAAAGCAGAGGGCCTCACCCATCCCGTAGTTCTACTCCGTTTGCTGCCGACGATCAGTGGAAACCATTTAAACTAGTTAAAATTTAAACTGTGGCGTAAATAGAGCATGTCTGACATGCTTCCGTAATAATAATCCATCTAACAGATGAGGATTACATTTATGTAAAGGAGAAAAAAAAAAAAAAAGCATTATTCACAGTCTTTTGTTCTGCTACATGTGATGTGGCTCGACAGGCCCGGTCCGCTTTCTGTCAGGAATCTGAACTGTTCGCAGCAGGTTCAGACATGAACCCGGTCTGAGCAGGTTCTGAACGGAGAACAGCATCTGAAGCCTTTTCTCAGTGGAGTCATTGTTATGCAATTTCTTTCTTCTTCCTGGTAGAAGCGGGACACAGGGCGGGAATTACAACCAATATGGGTTGCATTATATAACGTAAAACAAAAGGGGAAATACTGTATTTTCCAGACTATAGAGCGCACCTTACTATAAGCCGCATCTACAGAAAAAAAAAAAATACAAAAAAAAAAACTGGAAATGTACATATATAAGCCGCTGATATCTCCGCCGCTCTTGGTTTAGTTAATAAATCTATTAAGGAGGCAATCCTGCATCTCCAACACCGAACCATGGTTTCGTTCATGTTGAACTTATGTACAGCGGCTCCATTTCCTTCCTGTACTACCAGATTGATTACCTTCAACTTAAAAGCTGGATCATATGAACTTCTTCGGTTGCTGCTAGCATGTGCTTGTTCTAAATGAAAATTAGCGCTTTCTTCTTTGATTTCCAATGATTCACTTCCTGCTAAAGAGCCCCCTGGTGGTTGAAAAAAAATCCACAGAAAAGCCCCCGGGCTACAAGCAGTATGGTTCAAGATGTGGGGGGGGGGGG